CAGGGTTTCACCATGTTGGCCAGGCTGGTCTTGAACTCCTGACCTCAGATGATCTGCCCTCCTTGGCCTCCCAAAGTGCTGGGATTACAGGCATGAGCCACCGTGACTGGCCTATTTTTATTTTTTATTTTTGAGATGGAGTCTCGCTCTGTTGCCCAGGCTGGAATGCAATGGCGTGATCTCGGCTCACTGCAACCTCCACCTGCTGGGTTCAGGCAATTCTCCTGCCTCAGCCTCCCGAGTAGCTGGGATTACAGGCATGCATCATGACACCCAGCTAATTTTTGTAGTTTTAGTAGAGACAGGGTTTCACCATGCTGGCCAGTCTAGCCTCAAACCCCTGACCTCAGGTGAACTGCCGGCCTCGGCCTCTCAAAGTGCTGGGATTATAGGCATGAGCCACCGCGCCTGGCCGAAGCTGGTAATTAATAAAGAAAGGAGGTTTCCTTGCCTACGGCTCTGGAGGCGGCACAAGCAGCATGGCACAGCATTGCACTGGTGAGGGCCGCAGGCTGCTTCTCCTCCTGGCAGAAGGAGTGGTGGAGCCACATGCAGAGATTACAGGGCAAGAGAGGAAGCAAGAAAGGAGGGGGATGACCAGCTCTCAAGGGAGCTAACAGAGCGAAAACTCACTCGTTATTATGAGGATGGCACAAAATCATCCATGAGGGATCCCCCCCAGGACCCACACACCCCCCCAGGCCCTCCCTCCAACACAGGATTGAATTTCAGTATGGGGTTTGGGGGAGTCAAATATCCAATGCATAGCACCCCCAAAAAGATGCTGAACTCCTAATCCCCAGTACTGTGACCAGGACATTATTTGGAGATAGGGTTGTATGGAAAAGTCAAACTGCCTTTCCTCTTCTCTCACACCGCAAGAGTCAACACAGAGGACTCCTGTGATGAACAGGCTGAGGATTTCTCCCCGCCAGCAAGTGGGAACTCAGTTCTGCAGCGGCGCCAGCTGGGTGTCCCCCAGTCCAGTTCAATTCCAGCACTGTCCATCTGCAGACAGCACAAGATCCCACAGGGTGAGGGCTCAGTCCCACAAGACTATCACTCTTTTTTTTTTTTTTTTTTTTGAGGCAGGGTCTGGTTCTGTTGCCCGGGCTGAAGTACAGTGGCATGATTATGGCTCACTGCAACCTCGACCTCCTGGGCTCAAGTGATCCTCCTACCTCAGCCTCCTGAGTAGCTGGGACCACAAGCACGTGCCATCACACCCAGCTAATGTTTTATTTTGTACCGAGGGGGTCTTGCCATATTGCCCAGGCTGGTTTCAAATTCTTAGCTTCAGGTGATTCTCCGGCCTCAGCCTCCCAAAGTGCTGGGCTCTCAGGCCCGAGCCATTGTATCCAGCCACCTGTCCCCACTTCTGATGCCAATCACAAGCCCCAGGTTTTTCTACCTGTGCTTCTGACTGGGGTTCTCATGCGCCTCAGGTTTGATTAGCTGGAGCGGCTCACAGAACTCAGGGCAACACTGACGTTTCCTGGATGATTACAAAGAGTGTTACAAAGTCTTCTGATGAACACCAGAGGAAAAGACTTGCAGGGCAAGGATGGAGGAGGGGCATCGAGCTTCCTTGCCCTCCCTTGGTGTACCACCCTCAGGAACCTCCATGTGTTTAGCTATTTGGAAGCTTCTCCAACTCTGTCCTTTTTTTTTTTTTTTTTTTTCTTTCTTTTTGAGACAGAGTCTCACTCTGTCGCCCAGGCTGGAGTGCAGTGGTGCGATCTCAGCTCACTGTAAGCTCCGCCTCCCGGGTTCACACCATTCTCCTGCCTCAGCCTCCCAAGTAGCTGGGACTACAGGCGCCCGCCACCACGCCCGGCTAGTTTTTTGTATTTTTCAGTAGAGACGGGGTTTCACCATGTTAGCCAGGATGGTCTTGATTTCCTGACCTTGTGATCCGCCCATCTCGGCCTCCCAAAGTGCCGGGATTACAGGCTTGAGCCACTGCGCCCGGCTGGATTCGAGTATATTTTCATTTTCTTTTTTAAATTTTATTGATTGATTGATTGATTGAGACAGAGTCTTGCTCTGTTGCCCAGGCTGGAGTGCAGTGGCGTGAACTCAGCTCACTGCAAGCTCCTCCTCCCAGGTTCATGCCATTCTCCTGCTTCGGCCTTCTGAGTAGCTGGGACTACAGGCGCCCACCATCATGCCCGGCTAATTTTTTCTTGTATTTTTTAGTAGAGACGGGGTTTCACCGTGTTAAGCCAGGATGGTCTCGATCTCCTGACTTCTTGATCCACCCACCTCGGCCTCCGAAAGTGCTGGGATTACAGGCATGAGCCACCGTGCCTGGCCTATATTTTCATTTTCTATGGCCTGCCTTGGGAAGAAAATGGAGCAGGTGAAAGGAGGGAAGGAGAAAGAAGGTCAGAAAGGAGAGAGAAGCTGCACCTGAAGCCTGCTTCCAAGGCCCCAGCATGGTAACACAGGACTGTCTTTCCCCTTTATTGCTCTGAAGCTGTTTCCACACTGCTTCAGGAACCAAGGAAGAAAGGCCAAATACTGTAACAAAAGATATGCTCATTGTTTTAGTCACTGAGGAAATCACCAGGGTGATGGGAATTATGAACCAGGCATGGTGGAGGAAAACCAATATATAAATATCATCATCTCACAAGGGTCTTTGCAGATGATCAAGTGAAGATGAATCACCAGGATGGGCTCTAATCCAACATAACTGTGTCCTTGTGAAGTCTGGACTCACACACACACACACGCAGCCTAGTAGAGATGGAGGCAGAGACGGGGCAACGCTTCTACAGGCCGAGGAACACGGAAGATTTGCTGGCAAACCCCAGGAGCCCGGAGAGACGCAGGGAACAGATTTGCCCGCGCAGACTCCAAACAGAAATGAACCCGGCCTATACCTTGATTTGGGTTTCTGGCCTCCTGATGAAATCCTAATCCTCAGTACACAGGGGTGTTACAAGGACATGGTCATCTTGGATTGCAGCCCGCTCTGGTGATTCATCTTCACTTGATCATCCGCAAAGACCCTTATGAGATGATGATATTTATCAATCGGTTTTCCTCCATCGTGCCTGGCTCATAATTCGCAACGACCTTGTTATTTCTCTCCAGAAATAACAGTGAGAGAAGACATTTCTGTTGTTCTGAGCCCTCCAGCTTGTGGAACTTTGTGCTGGCAGCCCCAGGACACCGCAGTGTCCTCTCCCTGTCTCTTCTGCCTGGTGGGTCTTCTCTTCCTTTATTGAAAGGAAAAGGGCATTTGATCCTTGTTCCAGGTCCAATGTCCCTACCCTGCAAGCCGCCTCTGCCCACCCACAGCACTTTTCCCCCCACCCCATCCACACGGTCCCTGTCCCTCCCCCATGCTGGCCACACTACATGGCCACTGTGTCCTGTGACCATGTTCTTCTTGACCACAAACTCCCGGAGGACAAAACTCTGTGCCCTTGGTCTTCACGCCCCTGACTGAGGACTGGGCCTGGCACCAACTCGGCCAACAGAAGCATTTACTGCATTGGGGGGACTGGGGGCCAGCCAGCACAAAGGGAGACAGAAAAACCATCTCAACCCACACACCCAGAGCTGAACCCTCTTCTCCACAGGCGCCGCCCTCTGCTAGCACCTGTCTCTGCTGAGTGACCCACAACGGCCTGGCAGGACACCCAACCTTCACTCCTCCTTCTTCATTTTTTATTTTGTTTGAGACAGAGTCTCGCTCTGTCGCCCAGGCTGGAGTGCAGTGGCATGATCTCTGCCCACTGCAACCTCTGCCTCCTGGGTTCAAGCGATCCTCGTGTCTCAGCCTCCCAAGTAGCAGGGATTACAGGTGCCCACCACCATGCCTCGCTCATTTTTGTATTTTTAGTAGAGATGGGGTTTCACCATGTTGGCCAGGCTGGTCTTGAACTCCTGACCTCAGGTGATCTGCCTGCTTAGGCCTCCCAAAATGTTGGGATTACAGGTGTGAGCCACTGCACCTGGCCTACTCCTCCTACTTCTTCAAGACTGGGGCTTCTGGCTGTGAGCATCTCAGAAATCTGTTTGCTTCTCTCCTAAGTCACGGTCCCCCTGCCTGTGCCTTCTCCATCTCCAGCACCTGCTGAGCAGCCATCAGCCAGAGGCAACGCCTGTGACATCACAGCTCAAAGCCCTGCCTGGATATCTAGGCTGGGCATGGTGGCTCACACCTGTAATCTACTAAATTGGGATTACACCTGTAATCCCAGCTACTCGGGAGGCTGAGACAGGAGAATCGCCTGAACCCAAGAGGTGGAGGTTGCAGCGAGCCGAGATTGTGCCACTGCACTCCAGCCTGGGCAACAGAGCAAGACTTTGTCTAAAAAAAAAAAAAAAAAAACCGCCTTGCTTGGCCTCCCTCGGGATGAAGCCTTTTCCTCTGCTTCCAACACCTGCGAGGCCTGCCTCCCCTCCTCTCCCCCTCCCTGGCACCCCACACTGTCCCCAGGGCTTGCTTTTCTGCTGACCTCATGGTACCGTCCTGCAAGCCATTTCCTGGGGCCTCCCTGTCGCCTCTTCCAGAAACAACTCCTGGAGCTCCCCTTGGAGGTCAGGCCAATGACCTGTCCCCCGCATCGCCCTCCATCCTCTAAGCTTCCCGTGGGCAGGGACAATTCCCAGTTCAGAAGGGCTTCCCCTGCCCTGGGCCTGGCTCTTGGCAGAAGCTCTACAACAGACCGGCCACGTTCGTGTGACTTGATTCTCTCCGACTTTCAGGACGTCCTGAGGACGCACCCACGTGGCAATGGTGTCTGTCGCCCTGCCCCCTGGATCCCGCACCACTAGCGGAGCCGAGCAGAGCCCAGGGCTCCAAAGCGTGGGGAAAAGGCTGCGCCGCTCCCGGGGTGGCCCCACACCCCTTGTCTGAGCGTGAGCAGCGGCGCGGGACGGGGACGGCTCCGCCTGGGACCAGCAGGCCTCGGGCATCCGGGCCGCCGGGGCCGCGCTCCAGGCCGGGGGCGGGGGCGGGGCGGGGCGGGGACCCGCGGTGGGGCCGCGCCCTCGGCCACTCCCCGGGGCGACCGGGCGGCTCCACACGCGCTGCGCCAGCCGCCGGCCCCACGCGCGGCCCATGTCCTCCGTGCCGCGCTCGCCCACCCCGCGGCCCCGCAGGATGAAGAAGGACGAGTCGTTCCTGGGCAAGCTGGGCGGCACCCTGGCCAGGAAGCGGAGGGCGCGCGAGGGTGAGTGCGCGCCCGCGCCCGCCGACCCCCTGGGGACCTGCCGGGCCGCGCCCGCCCTGGGCCCCCAGCGCCCTACGGGGCAGCCCCCGCCCGCCCCCTGCCCGCCCCCGCGGCTGCGCGACCTTCGGGATAGGCCAAGCCTTTGACCCAAGACCTGTAAGCACCGGCCGGGACCTGGCGCATGGGGCCGCGGTGGCTTCAGGAGTCTGCCAAACGCGCGTGCGGGCGCCTGCGCGGCGGGGACCTCGGGCCACCGTGCAGGGCCCGCGCCTGCTCCGGCCGCCGGGTGTTTAGCTCTTCCCTGGGCCAGCGGCATGCCAGCCGCGCGGTGTGACCGTTCATTCCATGAGCAGTGACACTCACGTGTGCAGGGTACGCTGGGCAGGCACGGCCTGGGGGACCCGCTACTGGTTGTTGCGCGGGCGCCCTGCAGGGTGCGGGATTCGGGGCGTGCAGGTCTGAGGCCTGGGAGGCCTGCGAGCAAGGGTTGCAGAGATCGCATTAAACAAAAAAAATTTTTTTAAAAGTTTTTATGGCATGTGCTCACGAAACACTAGCAACCTCGTACGTTTTAAAGAATTTGAGAGTTGCAGGGTATAGTCTGATGTCTTTAAGTGTACCGCTTGCCCAGGGCCTCCTGGGAGATACATTCTTGAATTTTCTGCTTGGGTGGGGAGGTTCTGCCTCTGGGACCGTGCCCCAGAGTGAGATTTCAGATTGGTGAGAGGTGCGGGGAGCTTACAAAGAATGGAGGTGAGGAGCTGCTGTGGAAAGGCAGATGGAGAAAGGCCGGCCTCAGGTGGGTACCCGGGAAGGAGCCCTCCCTTAGTGGGTATGCAGTACGGTTTTCTTAAACCACCTGGGCCTGACATATCCCTGGGAACTCTTCCTGTGCCTCCAGGGATTAGTGTACCCCGGGATGCAGGTCCCCCATTCATTTCTTCCCTGGGACTCTTGTATTCCTAGGGGTGTGTGTGCTCTGGGAACACATGTGACAGATTTGCCTCTAGGCCTGTGTGTGCCCCCATGCACCTGCTCCCCAGGTTTTGTGTACGGTGCAGGGAACGCTTGGTTCCCCAGCCATTTTCTGCCAGGGACGCCTGCGCCCCCAGGGGATGCGTGTCTTCCCACCCGTGATCCTGTTCCAGGAGGGCAGGGTCTTGTCCCCTTCAGTGGGTCTCCTGGTGGAGAGGCCACTCTTCTCTCAAGCCTTACACTGGACGACCCACTGTGGCTTGTATTAGTCGGTGTTTGTCACCTCTTCTAAATGACATGATTAGTGACTGTCACCCTTCTGTCTGTCATCCCTGCTGTTCTTCCATGCAGTCATCAGCACCCTCACCAGAAATCATTTCGGTTCCTCTTTATGGCTTGCAACAATTATAGACGCAAGTGACACTCCCCTCACAGTTCAGCCCACAGCCTGGGGTGCGCCTGCCACGGGCCAGGTGCTGCTGGGACCCTAGGAAGAAAAGAGTGGGGGCGGGGTGCTTGCTTTCGTGGAACAAGGAATGAATAAGACAAGTAGTGCTGTGATGACATGCCCCAGAGCACATAGAACAGGGCGATCGGAGCCAGGGGAGGCCTCTGAGGAGGGGACACTTGAGTGGAGGCCAGAAGGAACCAGAGGAAAGTCTTTCATAGAACGGCAAGGAACCGGAATGTTCTGGGCTATTACAGCTTTTTTTAGGTGCCGTTTACGCTCTCGGAATAGGAAGAACACACACCCAAAGTAGTGGACGGGGCCCAAATTCCAGAGTACACAGTGCTTCTCCTCCTTGCCTGTATGAATTGATGTGTGCCTAGAAAATTCAGGCCCAGCCTGGTTTAATTCAAATGCACCAAGAATTCCAGTAGCAGGAAGCATCTTGTGCTGAGTAGAACGGGCGTGGAGGCAGGAGGAGGAGCAGGACACCAGGCACTGCTGATGCTGCTTTTGCTGGGGGTGAGCTGGGCGCCCTGCCTCGGTTCTCAGGGTTGGGGTGCCTGGCAAACAGAGGGCCACAAACCCTCCTTGGATCCAGGCGCAGGAATTGAGGGACAGGCTGGATTGGGAAGGGGTTAGCGGCTTCTGTGTGGTCTCCTGGGAAGTGGAGGAGCCAGGAAGACCGAATAATGAGGCCTTGAATAATTGAGAGTTGCCGGTAATTCTGCAAGCCCGTTTGCCTTGGCAACATGTGCTTCTGGCCACTCCAGGGTGAGAGAAGCCCCTGACCCTGACTTTAGGCCATCAGAGCTATGCTTGGTTGCCTACCAGAGAGTGCCTGGGTGCTTGGGAGGTTTCCACGACCCTGCCTGCTGCACCATCGGCTTCATTTCCTCCTTTGTTAGAAAGTTGAGGCTGGATTCGGGAGAGCGGATGTGGCTCCGTTGTGTTCCTGAGTTGAAGACTCTAAGGGAGGAGGGAGAAGCTGGGGGAGGGGGCGGGTTCATCAGTGAGGTTCCAGCTTCAGGCAGGGGTGTGACAAGGCACAGAGGGACTTTTGAGAGGGATGGTTGGGATGAGTGACCTGGCTTGTTCCAGAGGAGAGGGGGTTAGGAAATGTGGGGCCCTGGGGTTTGGAGGAAGCCGTGCAGGAAGTGTCTGAGAATGAGCTTCACAGCGGGTGTGATTAATAAGGCTGATGCGCCATGGGAGGTGTGTCCCGGGTCAAAAAAGGGAACTGTGATTAACTGTAGGCATTCGCAAAATGGAGAGGAACGCCGGAAACCCCCAGGGCTCCCCACAGAAGCTCTGGGGACATGAAAGGACAGCGTGTTTCAAACCTGGGTTCAGCTTTCCTGGGGCTTAGAGGAGCCTGTGTGGAGGGAAGAGCCCCCAACAGCACACAGGGTTCCCCACTGTGACCATGGGATGGGAGGCTCCGCAGGGCCAGGACGGGGGTCAGGGACAGCCCAGCTGCTGCTGGAAATCCTCAGAGGCGGATGGCCCGCCCCGGCCAGTGAGGCCCTACATGGAAGACGTCGGGTGGAGTGCTCCACACATTTGCCACAAGAGGCCTGTTCCGTGCTGTGCTAGGCCCTGGACCTCAAGTGCCACTGCCCAGTGGCCAGGGTCAGGTTTCTCAGAGAGAGCTGAAGCCAGCGGGGCCAGAGCAGCCAGTCTGGAGGTTCTGTCCCTCTTTTATGAGCAACACATTCAGGAAGTTTCTATCCCCTGATTACCTTAAAAAAATATGTGTGGGCCAGGCGAGGTGGCTCATGCCTGTAATCCCAGCACTCTGGGAGGCCGAGGTGGGTGGATCACCTGAGGTCGGGAGTTCGAGACCAGCCTGGTTAACATGGTGAAACCCCATGTCTACTAAAATTCCAAAAATTAGCCAGGCGTGGTGGCACGCACCTGTAATCCCAGCTACATGGGAGGCTGAGGCAGGAGAATCGCTTGAACCTGGGAGGCGGAGGTTGCAGTGAACCGAGATTGCGTCACTGCACTGCAGCCTGGGCAACAGAGCGAGACTCTGTATCAAATATATATATGTGTGTGTGTGTATGTATATATATATTCACATATATATTTATGTATATTTTTAAAGCAGTTTCAGGTTTACAGTGAAATCCAGCAAAGAATACAAAGTGTCCCCACCTATCCCTTCTCACCTCCATCAGTGCCCCCAGGCTGTGTGGTAGAGTCATGAGCCAACATTGAGGCATCATTGTTTCCGCAAGCTCATAGTTTACATTAGGGATCGCTCTTGCCGTTGGACATTCTGTGTTTCTGGATGGATGTAGAGTGACATGGACCCACCATTACAGTCGCCTCTGGAGGAGTGTCACTGACCCCAGAATCCTCTCTCTGTTGCCTGTGTGTCCCTCCACTTCCCCAAACCCCTGGCAACCACGGATCATTTTTTTTGTCTGTTTGTTTTTTTTACTATATCCATATTTTTGCCTTTTCTAGATTGTCATATGGTTGTGATCATACAGCATACAGTAGCGCTTCCAGATTGGCTTCTTCCACTCAGTCATGTACATTGAGGGCCCTTCCATGTCGTCTCATGGCTTGGTGGCTCATTCCTTTTTAGACTGAATAATAATCTGTTGTCTGAATGTGCCAGTTGGTTGATCCATTCACCTGCTGGAGGACATCTTGGTTGCTCCCAAGTTCTGGCAGTTATGAATAAAGCTGCTGTGTACCTCCGCGTGTGGGTTTTTGTGTGTAACTAAGGTTTTACTTCATTTGAGCTCGATGGCTGGATCGTATGGTAAGAGCGTGTCTCGTTTGGGAAGAAACCACCAAACTGTCTTCCAAGGTGGCTGTGCCACTTTTATTCGCCGGCGGCGAACGAGAGTTCCTGCCGCTCCGCACCCTCGCCAGCATTTGGCGGTGTCAGTGTTCTGGATTTTGGAGTTCTGACAGGTGTATCGTGGTGTCTCGTTGCTGTTTCAATTTGCATTTCCCTGATGATGTATGAAGTGGAGCATCTCTTCAGATGTTTATTTGCCATCTGTGTATCTTTTTCGGTGAAGTGTCTGTTAAGGTCATTGGCTCGTTTGTATTTTATTTATTTTTATTTTTATTTTATTTTTGAGACAGGGTCTCACTGTAGCCCAGGCTGGAGTGCAGTGGCACAATCCTGGCTCACTGCAGTCTCAACCTTCTGGGGCTCAAGTGATCCTCATGCCTCAGCCTCTGGAGTAGTTGGGACTACAGGCACATACCACCATGCCCAGCTAATTTTTGTATTTTTTGTAGAGATGAGGTCTTACTATGTTGCCCAGGCTGGTCTCAAACTCCTGGGCTCAGGAGATCCACCTGCCTCGGCCTCCCAAAGTGCTGGGATTACATGCGTGAGCCACAGTGCCCGGCCTTGGCCTATTTTTAAATCTGCTTGTTTGTTTCCTTACTGTTGAGTTGGAAGAGTTCTTCATATATTTTGGATACAAGTCATGTGTTTTGCAAATATTTTCTCTCCCAGCCAGCGGCTTGTCTTTCCCTTCTCTTGATCCTGATATCTTCTAAGCATTTGATGTAGAAATAGTGATTAATGAGCAAGATATTG